GGCAAAAAACTACAAAAACTATACAACTTATTTGGAAAAGATGGAAGTCTGATTACTTGAATACTTTACAATCTAGATCAAAATGGATGGTTGAAAAAAAATGATCTGATGATCGGCCAAATGGTTTTGATTAAAGAAGATTTTCTGCCAATTAACAATTGGCTTTTAGGGCGAATAACATCATTGTACCACGGTTCTGATGGAAAAGTCCGTGTTGTAAAAGTTCGTACCAAAACAGGGGACTTTAAAAGGACAATTAATAAAATAGCTGTATTGCCTATTGAAGTTTAGCAAGTTGTGAATTATGTTACTCAGTTGTTAGTAATTATATTGAAAATTATTTTTCTCAATAATTTTGTATTCATGTTTTGTTCACTTATTTTATATTTTTCTATACATATTTTATACTTGTTTACATGAATAACTGAAACTTTAATACTGGTATTTCATAATTAAATTTATGTTAAGTTCTTGCATGTGAACATAGCAAGGCCGGGCGGGATGTTGGCGCATTTTACGCCAACGAATCTCGCCAAATTATCGCCTCCTACGATTGAGGCAACAGACTTGAAGAAGAAATCTAACCGGTCTGACGTGAGCAATTACTTGTAACCGAAGCTCACAATTAAATTGTATTTTGCTTCACTGTAAATATTTGTATATGATGTTTTTCTAAATAAAATAATTAAAAACGAAGCAGTGAAGCTGGTCCGTCGATAAAAAATAACCTTTAAGAAAAATAAGTTAAGAGTTTTTTTTTTTGTAATGGTTTGGCTGAATATCTGAGAAAAAGAAAGCTTTTCTAAATAAAAAACGTAAAAATAAATAGCACATTTAAAAGACCATCTCTAGTAGGGAAAACTGAGTATATCTATGAGAATAAAAAAAGAAGAACATTTTGGCAAGGGTAATTCAGATCTATCTAGGGACAGATGGTGAAATTAGTGTTGTGTGCGTGAAAATAACTTCTGGTGAGATAGTTCGGTCTACTCAAAAGCTTTCACTCGAAATATCTCCAGTTGAATCTACAAAAGATGAAATAATGAGAAACTAAAGTGCTCCAGAAAGGTTAGCCCCAGATTTTTTTCTGAAATAAAATTGTGGTATCTAAGAGTGGAAGACGAATTATACTTCCTTCCAGTTACATAACCTAAAGAACATTTTTAACCGTGAATTGATTTTAGTTTTAGTTTTGATCAGAAATCCACTAAGCAAAAAGTGAGAAGAATGTTGTATATTTGCAAAGTTTGCCAACGTGAAAAACATTAGTTTTTGAGAATTAGCATTATAAAGCAGCTTCTCCCTCCTTTCCGCATGTCTTCGTGGTATAAGTGGAAGCATACGCGACGCGCACTTGAGCGGTTCAGGGTTCCAGATCCGGCGAGGGCATTGCATATTTTACACTTCTTTTGCTTCGAAAAAAATCCTAATGACTCTACAGTGACGCCCGAACTAAAAGGTGGTGGACGATAATTCGTCATTGCCAGGATTTAGTAACTGCGTCCCCTAATCACCAGTCGCTCTCTAATGCGCAGTATATAAGGTATTTCCTTCTTCATTTCCACATGCCTTAGGGATGTGATTCGAACCGTACTCGACGCGTATTCGAGAGATCCAGAGTTCGAGTCCCGGCGAGGCCATTTCACAGTTTTCACTTCTTTTGCTTCGAAAAATCCTAATGACTCTATAGCATATTACAGAAAAAGAAGAGGAAAAATTTATTTTATGTACTGGTTATTTTCTTTTTTTTAAAGGAGGATAATTATGTTTCTTTTCGGTTTGGATGAAAATAAATGAGTAATTTATCTGAAACGCAACATCTATATTGAAATAGTATAGAAAGATTTCTTAGATTCAAATCGTAAATTTGTATTTTTTAACCCTCTGACCGGCAAAGCCGTATTTATACGGCCTATATTATTCTTTTGTGATATCTGTAAGAACGTATATATACGTGCATCTTAAAATATGTCCAAGAAATTAAGCCAATCTATTCAAAGTATATAATTCCAGATATAAAATACGAAGGGCATTTCGACATTAAAATCAAGAAACTTAATGATTCTAATGGAGTTTTGAGATATTTGTGCTAATGATTTTTATTCAGAAAACACTTCTGACAGCTAGCAACACTAACAGCAGCTAGTGCGAGGAAAGTTCGCACTAGTATTGCTATATTTTTTTAAAATTTTGTTTTTAATTTGTTAAACTGCACAAATTCAAGGACTGTCCTTACATGTTCCTGTTTCGATTTTTCTAGGAAATAAAATTGAAATACTTTTTTCCTGAGTGAGGAATGTGATTGTAATCATAATTTAGTTCATATTCGTAATTTGCATTCAAAAGTTTTGACGGAATAAAAAGTATACAAGTATGTAGCTGTTGAAATCTCGTAGTGATTTCTTTGAATACTTTCTCTAGAGTAACAATTATTATTATTATTATTATTTTTTCAGTTTAATTCCGTATGACAATTTAGAGTCTAATTATTCTTCATCTACTCCAGACGATCCATCTGACTAACTTCAATAAAATAATATTTAACGCCAAAAATGCCGCCTTTGAAAATGCGCTGGTCGTCTGGAATCCTTACGCCACTGGCATAAGAATCTGAAGTTACTAACCATTCGGGAATTCATCAGTGTAGAAAATGAAAACAAACAGAGGTAAACAACTTACTCAAAGTTGACAGTTTGGATTACGAAATTGTTGAAGAAGACATGCTTGTGAGACCTTTCTCACCTCTTTCTACACAACAGTTCTTCCACAGAAACAGCTTACTAAATGCTCACATTTCGTAGGCTTAAAAGTTATTCTGTAAATATTTCATCAGGTTCATCAGTATTTATTATGCATATAGGTGTTTACAGTAACTTTTGGTATCTTTGTGTATTTCAGAATTTATGGCAAGAACTGTGTACTTTCTGAACTGTGTACTTACTTCTGTGTACTTCTGTGTTTGTCAAACGTTCTCATTGTATTGTTACGAATTTTGTACATAGATAGATGATTTTAGGGCAATTATATGTGAAATTGTACTTTTCTGTATAACATGAAAATTTAGAAAGACGATACTTTGCAGGCAAAGTAAGAATACAGGGGAAGAGTAAGAATTATAATAATAATAAAGTCTGTTTAATATTGAGTAAAATATTGAGTAACTCGTTAATTTGGCGACATATTACCAAGCTGGCAACAGTTTTGGCGACTAAACCCCAAAATTTGGGGAGAAATCGCCAGTTTAAGAGACCGTGTGGTGAGATTTTGTTCTGATCCCTGTATAACAGTAAATGAATAACTGTAATTGATGTTCTGTATAACTATAATCGTAGTCGGCCTTCATCTGTCTTCCAGCAATTTTAAGAAGCAGAGAGTGCTAGAAATATCTCAGCGGCCGTGTGAAAATTATATAAGACCGGAGACAGCACCTGCTGTCATTTGTTGTTAGATGTTAGTTCATGCGTGAGTTCTGAGTACTGAGATGTCTTCGGCTTAGCGTCGCTCTTTAAATGCGCTTTGCAATACATTGTGTTTAACGTTCTTAGCAGTTTGAAGAGTAACTACTGAGTGTACTCTGCGATACTGTGAACACCTGTACGAACATTTCTGTAGAAAGTTTCCGTACTCTGAAGTGTTTCTTTTGATAAAATAAATTTTATCAACCTATCATCGGACTTGTGTGAATTATATCTATTACGAAACACTACGCATGTAACAATATGTTTTGTACATATTTCTCTTATATTAAATTTTGATATTGTATTCTATGGCAATTTTGTATCTGTTCGACATCTTTGAGTATTTATTTAGTGCATTTCAAGAACTATGGACCTTTTTATTTCCTCCTCAGTATGGACATCTTGTAAGCACACAGTTATTTCACTGTGCAGACTTAGAAACAAAATTGAGTTATATGTATGTCTTTTGTCAGTGAAACCTAAAAACTGCTTAAGTATTGAAGACTTTTATACTTTGCATAGGCGACGTGCATCTTTTCTTTTACCAGCTAATCAGTTCAACCCCTCTACTTAGAAATTATATTACTTTACCGTTTTAGCCTATCTTCTGTGGCGATCGGGAGTTATTCTACAAAATGTCAAACATCTGACAATCTAGCAAATACTCCTAGCATTGAAGTCAGTTTATCGTTGGGATGAATCGTTGGGCAGTGAGTGGTCGTTTGATATTCACTGGACATAAAACAATTCCTTTGAATATCAAACTTTATTCCTGGAAAATATCAGAGATTAAAACGGCATTTTCTTCCCTATGTTCTTCACACTCACTGTGTTTTCGCGTTCTTTTTCGTATTTACTGTGTTTTCGCGTTGACATAATACATTATAGCTCTTAAAACTGCGACAAATACCTTCTACATTTTAGAGACATAAACTTGGTTTTATTTCTTACCATTTGACATTTCGTAAAAATGTACAATCAAGAGAATAAAAATACTAAATAAATTTGAGTCTCAAATACATGACAAATTGGATAAAAATTACTAAGAAATGACAGGTGTGTCAATGCTTAAAAGTAAAAACCAGTACCACAAACAAAATCAGCTATGTTTTATAATTCGTTTTTCGTATTTGGTCTCTTTATCTTTCACTCTTTATAGAACACAAATTTGAAGAACTGAATCACAAACAACAAGCCAAAGGCTCAGGAGCATAATTTACTATTAATCTGGTTTTAAAATCCGCTCAATCCTTCTTTCCAAAAATTATTCGGATTATTTAGAAGTGCATTAAATCACGATTTCGCAATCACCGGATACACAGATCATTCGCACAGTAATAATTATTTCCGCGAAACTGGTTATTTTTAACCGAAAAAAAAATAATAATGGATGCCTCTTAAATTGATTGCGGATATGTGAGCTCTTAGAAGATGAGAAAATGTGATGACGCAATCTTCTGCGCGTGCATGAGTATATAAATATCGGTATTAATAAATAATGAATGATTTATAAACTTTTTACGGATAGTTTTTTAGTTAGATTACGGACATTGCGGTGATCTCTTGTGTTCTTATCAGTATTGCTCGTACCAGAAACTGTAATCGAGCTAAACAGGAGAAGTTTAGCCATTTTATCACAGAATATTCAGTGCTGATTGCTGAAAGTGTTATGCATGTAAGTATAGAAGTATTTCAGATGTAAGTATACTCAAATAATTTCATAAAATACCCACCAGAAAACTGTTGAATCTCAGCCTTGAAATGCAACGAGTCCCAATATGCTCAACAATGAAAAATAAATTGTTTTAAGGAACTTTGAAAGTTCTGCGTTCAAAATCGTTATTCGTTTTGTGGTGTTGTCTATTTGGCGTAATCCATTTCCCATAAGCAATGTATTAACAGAGCAGAAAAGCTTCTCTGAATACTTTTAGAGAAATATAAATCTCTAATACAGAAACGTAACAGATTCCTGATACAATAATTTTAAAAAAAAAATCTTACTATGAAACCTACCGATATCTAACTTATATATTTATTTCCGTAACAAAAAAAAATCCAAATGAAAAGAGAATTTTAGTGAATATTTTAGAATGTAGTCTAGAGGTAAAATTCCGAACATTGGGCACTTCAGTCGCTGATGAAAACAACATTATTGCCACTGTAAAGCCGTGACATCTTCTCATTTTTCGTACTCTATTCTACCCGTCCCCTGACGTCTTCCTTGACGTTTCACCCACGGATTTTTCAGTCTTTGGTCTCTTGAAAAGAGGTCTTTCTAAGCGCAAATCCTCTCTAACTGATGGACTCTGCAAAATAGTGGAAGAGAAAGGATAATTCCCTGAAATTTTACAGAAAGCCCTTCTGTCATGGAAATCACGATGCAGACTTAAGTCCAGAAAAACGACTATCAGATCGGACATTTAAAAAATATTCTTTACATTTAAACATTAATTAAACAGACTCGAAATGTGTAAAAACCCGAAATATGTACTAAATTTGTAAATACTCTCTGTAATACAGGGCAAGGGACAATAAATGGGGAAATCCAGGCTCGGCGTTAGGTATTTTGCACCCCGGTCCAGTCTCTGCGTATTCTAAATTTTACTGCCCTGTATCTCTCAAAATTCTGAAAATTTTGCCGCCCCTAGTTTCTTCTACTCGGTGCCTCCCTTAAATTAAAAAAATTTTGCTGTCCGTAAATTTTGTTACTTTAGATTCTGCTTGTCTAAATTTAAAAAATTTTGAATCCTTGAATTCTGCCGCATGGCAATGGGTTGCACCGGAAGATCCTTGCACGAAGAAAGAGAGAGTGAACGGCTACGAAGACGATGACAGCGGTAGCGATGGCAACGACTTGCAAGCTGTAGCAGACGAGACAAATAGCAGTTCCAGCACCATTGAATGATATAGCAGCCTAAGGAGTAGGATTGAATTAGAGCGGGAGAGATTCAAAATTCAGGGAAGTAGAATTAAAGGTATCTTATTAGATATTCCAATATTAATATTACTTTGTATTCTTAATTGAATGTAGATTTCGTTTGAATTGATAATATTGTATTCGTTACCAGTAGTTTATCCATGAATATTTTTAATTTTTTTCTTTACTATAATGGCCTCCCTCTAAATTAAATTACTCCCGTAATTTTCCCGTCATTTTTGTATGATAAATTTAGTAAAAGAAAAAGGGGGATGTGCACGATTAAATACAGTAATCCAAAAATTAACGGCTGCGAAAATATAGGCTGGTTAAGGAGTTTGTATAAATAATTACTTGTTTAGCAGCTGTTTTAATATACTCTGAATATTTCCGAAGTAATTCATCAAGCTAGATCCTTCGCAAGTCTCAGATTGTTTGCATTCAGTTGATTTGAAAGCTTTCTGACAGAACTAAATTCGTGTGAGTTGTACTTCCAATAAAAAATGCAAAATTAATTTTAAAAAAATGACTTAAAATGGTATATTGGAAACATGTGAAATTTAATCAAATAATTATTAAAATTTTTATTTGGTTTAAATTCTTATGTAAAAAGATTACATTTAGAAAATACGAAAAACTTGGAGGTTTGTATTAAATTTACATTTAGAAAATTTGAAAAACTTGGAGGTTTGTATTAAAGTTACAAAGATAATAACTTATATTTCTGACGCTGCAATTCGATTATTAGATTTCGTTATTTAGGCATCCCACGCTTTTATTATTCATGATATAAAGCTATCGACGAATTTTCTAAAGGGAATTATTTAATTTCTCGTTTCCATTAAACTATGTGATAAATGATTTTTCTCTTTTTAGCTGATTAATTATTTTTTTTTTTTTATATATTTTAAACATCCAGCCACTAGCGCACTAGCCACCTAAATGAAGATATTATGAAAAGAAAAAATATAGAATGATTTGAATGGGTCCAGCTAGTAATTAATAATAATAGAGGTGAAGAAATGTATTTATTAGTTTCGATTGGCGACGTTTTAGAAGATTCGAGAAAACGCATTTTTGAAGTTCTAAGGCCAGTGTTTTCGCGAAGTTTCCAGAAGCTCGTACTGCACTATATGTAGGCTCCGAGAGTCAGGACGAGTTAATCAATTATGAGAAACGAACGTTTTAAAGAGAGTTCACGATATTCCTCGTGCAGTGAGGAGGACATGCTTAATATTCGCTTTCTCTTTGAGCTATTTACAGCCATTTATTTGATTTAGAATTTATAATTAAATAGGCTTGTTCTTCCTTCCTTTCGGAGTGATTATTATTTGTAATTAAATTGTCAAGTTCTTCTTGCTAATTCGGAGAGTTTACTTAAAGAGACAGCCACGAGCTTCTAGCTCGCGACATTATTATCAGTATTTCTTGTAGCATGCAACAACTGATCTTCAGTTTCTATTATATTAATTTTTATTCTTTGCTTCTGAAGTAATTCAGTATTCTTTGATTGTGTTTAAAATACTTAATAATTTGTTGGGTGATTTTTTAAAGCAGTTCCTATCGAGAACGTACTGTCTATCTCGGTATACATTGCCTTCACTAATTCAGAAAAATATACAGCTGGGAGGTCTGCAGTAAAGGCTGGATAACAGCGCTGAATGCTCTTATCCACTTAACCTTTACTGCAGTCAATCCGGATCAATGGCGATTAGCATCTGGTTGTATGATTGATTTTTGTCTTTTCTCTCCTTGTGTAACGTGAAAGAGCCAGTTTCCCTCCAAACTTGCTCCACGATGGTATCCCTCCACTTTGGCAGAGAGCCTTTTTGTTTTATGCCATATTCAAATGATCTTTAATCTGAGTTTCTCAAGTCGCAAAATATTTATAATGTTAATAAGTGCTCCATGTTTGTTATTGCATTTTGTGTGTGATTTCTACGAGAGAAAACAATCTCTCTAATTATGTTGCTGGTCTTAAATAATCATGCTGATGAAGTACAGTGGGACCTTGGTTAACAAAAAAATTTTTCAAACGGAAAATGTCTTGGATGACGAATGATGTCTCAAGATGTGAAGAAGTAAGCCAGCGACAAATTATACTCCAAAATGCAGTTAATGCAGTGGAAGAAATGTCTTCAGACGATGAAGACAGAAGAGAGATATTCCTTGTTATTTGACCCACGAAATTTGTGCAAAATGAGGTAAGGTGCCAAGGCTCGTGGAACACTAACGCCTGATAAAGCAATAGAAAGCCATGTCTTGCTTTGGGATCATTTTAAAACAAAAAAATCACTGTGAACAAACTTTTAATGTAACAATGACTCAGTGATTTATAATAAGAGGCGAGAGGTGATAAGAGAAAAAGAAAGAAAAACTATATAAATAAATGAATAAGCCAAAACGTTTTATGATAGACTGCCAACCAAGGGGACCAACGAGACTAAAATATTCTGTATGTTCTGACTCAAGAAAACCATCAGAAAAAAGTAACAGAAGTGAAAGAGGAAAGATGAGCCACTAGAATGTATTAGCAAGATATTATATTAGGGGTTCTCAACCGGGAGGAATTCCCTCTAGGGTAAATTTCTAGTTTCAGGGAAGGAATGCAGTCAGCCTTTCATTTAGCTGTTCAATATTTAGTTTTGGTTTATGAATGTTAAAACGAAAATTACTTTTATTCAAGTTTTGGTATTTATTAACATTTTTTGTACGTTTTGTTGTTAATAAAACATATTAAAAATAATCTAAAATAAATGTTAATGTATTTTTCAAGTTTCGTAAAGAAGTGAGGGAGACTGAACTTGTAGCAGTGGTGAAAGGGTTGCATGGGGGCTAAAAAGGTTAAGAATTCGCGTATTACACCATAAAACGTGATCACAAATTGAGTTGGAAACAAATAACATTTGTCATAACTTAGTTTGTATTATTTTGCGTTCCGTTCCTTTAAGTTCTCTGAAAAATTCAAGCTCACGTGCAGGCTATTCTTGGATCATCTATGTTCTCCGTTTGTCCGCATTTCCCATGCCTAAATTAGCACAAGTAACTGGAAGTTTAATGTATCTCATTAGTTAAACTTATAAAAGACTAAAGGCACTAGGAATATATTGCAATATAACTATATTGTTTATATATTTTTCAAAATAATTTGTAACACACGCAGATCTCCATCCTTCCAGTATGGTTTCGAAGACTAGTTTCTTCATTCTTGGGAAATTAGTGTGCAAAGAACACTGTCGCGTTTCGTCTCGTTTGTTAAATGTCTCGCCTTCAGTCTTGTGTTTCACTTAGAGGAACAGGGGAAAGTCACGAGGAGCAGGATTATAGGGAAAACACTCTAACAGCTTTATTCCAGTGCTGGACAAATATTCGAAGCAAACTTTAGAGCGTTGAGCTCGAGCATTATCGTAATGAAGAAACCATGCGTCTATTATTGAGTCTGGGCTCAGGTTTTTGAGAGTTTCGACAACTTTAGGCAAGTAGTACTAGATATGCCACTTCTCTGTGACTGTTTTCTGAATTTCCAACACAACCCGCTTTTCTTCACGTTCTAGGAAATACGGCCACTATTCGTTTTCACTAATCTTGATTTTCAAACAGCCACAGTGGTCTGCTCATCTTCGAACTCCCACATTTTACTCTGAACAGATGTTGGGACGTCATAATGGTGCAGCCAAGTTTCGTGCTTATCACAAAACTGTTTACATAGGGAGGTAAATGTTTTCAACATTTTGCTGCAGCATGGAACACGACGTGCC